TATGATATATACAGTGGACGCCGCTAATAAGACTCACGGTTATAAGATTCAGTCGCTTATTACACTAAAAATCAATTGGAACGGTCCCACCAAATACATTTTATCCTTTCTCCGCTTCGCCTATAAGGTTCATTCGGTTATAAGATTCACTTTGTGCTGATCCCATTAAATAAATTTAATATGCTCAGAAAATTAACAAAATTATTGAATTAAATGCACTTAGAAAACGTTGTCTAAGAGCAGTTGTCAGATTCTCAATCTTTTTGACACTTGACGGACCACTCGAAGAACTTTCTATAAGCCACAGACTACCACGATTTGCTAATAATAACCTTTTTTTTTTTACATATTATGTTTTTTCAACTTAACCCTGTACTTTTTTTGTACTATTCAGGTATTAATAATATAGGTAACATTATGTAATAAACTTCAATAACCAATATCGATTGCGTTAAATACTTTTTTTAAATTTTGTATGTAATTTGACCTCGTAGACTACCACAAAATATTTCACGGAACACCGGTGGTCCACGGGCCATAGATTGGGAATCACTATCCTAGACTTTAGGACAATCAGTTCAATACAAAATGAGAACTGATGATATAATATTAACTTGTCCACATATTTCTGGTAATGTAGTGTCCCACTACATTAAACATATAAATTATATTTTATAATAATAAAGATAAGATAACAATACGCCGTTGTGAAATATATATTATTAATAAGTGTAATTGATAATTTAATTTATTGTATACTTGTATATTACTTAAAAATCTGTAAATATATCCATATATATATATGGACAAATGAAAGTTTTTCGAGTGTCATCGAAAATCGCATGCGTGCCACTTATTTGTAATCCCTATCCCAGAGCATTGTAATAAAAGTGCCTTCGAATTATTTATTATTTGTGATTATTGTTTTGCTCCATTTTTAATCGAACCGATTGAGGGAAGCAACTTTACTTCACGTACATTCTAGAACGGCCGAAAAAAAAACACTTTGCTCTTAAATCCAAGACCAGCTTTTGGAAAAAAAAAAAAACAAAAATAAATGTTTCGGGATCAACCCGGACTGCTATAACCGTCGACTATAACCTACCGGTAGGTTAATTCGTAAAATAAGTCCGGTAATAACACAATATTATTATATGAATTTTCAACAGCTAAAATATAGTTACTATGTGAATACACCAAGTTCGTAATACTCGCGATTTTCGGTTTCGCGATCGGTGAAAAAACAATTTTACCGCGGTATCTCGCGTGAGCATGACCGTGACAACAGCGTATTTGGCGTACTTATAATGCCCATAAAATATCTTTTACATGGGTTACGTTAGGTCTAGTTGTTCGTTATTATACGTGTTCTTTTATCCTTGGCGATCTCATCACGAGTATCCGCGCTGGTATGTAATTGCAGCTGATGCCCGCCAGACTGCATGCACGCAAACTGTGCATCGGGTCGTGCCTTTACTGTACGGAATTTATTGTAATGCATAAAAATGTGTAAAGCGAAAAAAATCGCTCGTTCATCATAACTAATATTATTTTCGTTGTTATTACGTGATCACTGGCTAATAATAATATTATACAGTACATATTATTATAATGTTATATTGCTCGTGAGGATATATTATCCGGCATTGTCTCCCCGCGGCGGTGGAAGACGTGTTTTAACGTTTTATGTTAGCCGAACACCCGGTATCATTTATTATCATTATATATATATATTTTTTTTTTATAAAGCTTTTATTGTAACGATCAAAATAAATCTTTAACAATACATTATCAAAGGTGTACATAAATACTTGTATATTATATATATACAAGATTTTTAATTGGTGTATTCATTTTTACGAGCGTCATAATAATATTAAATTTTACGGTAAAATCTTATACTGCATAGGTACGATATTTCCGGGAGGCAATGCAGCACAGGATGTTAAACATATTGTGCCATTATAATTCTGTAGTTTAGATTAGGTCCTACCCAAGAAGCAGAAGAAACCCGCAAGACCTTTTTTACCCCCCCCCCCCCTGGACACTGATATAATTTAAATAAAACGTCATCTAAAAAAACAAGCATCTATTCAAAATTATATCTTTGAAAAACACATATCATTTTTCAGTACTCTCTCCCCAACAAATATTACCAACAATTTGAGGTTTTATTACGAGTTTTGTTTTTACTTATTTTCGTGTTAATCGTATAGCATATATTTACAAAGTTGTTGATAAAAAGTAATACAATTTCAATTTTTAAATATTCTGCAATTAATTGGTAAACAAATAAATATTAATTAATAAGTCATTATTATATGCCATTAGTACATTGCTTAATACATGCTTTCAAAGGATAGATCCAGGCATACAATATTTAATCAAATCGTAAAAAGAACACAGACAAAAGAGTACCAAAACTAACCATATCGTTATGTTATAAATTTATAATAGGAAATAAAAATAGAACTAATTGCAGTTAAAAATAAAATAAAATTTGGCAATAATCCTTCCATTACTTTCCCATACACCTAACCTAATATTTACAATATGTAGGTACGTGGAATATCAAAAAAAAAAATAAATAACAATCAAAATCCCGTGATTTGTATGGTTTTCATTAAAATTTAAACTTTAAACTATTACTAAACTACTACCTTATTTTCTATGATTAATAAATATTGCTTTAAAATTACATTTCTGTACGGACAAAATAATTATATTGATATGAAACCAAATTAAATAAAATTTTTAAAACACTCGAAAATGTCAAATGCTTATGAATATCTTAAAAAATATTTACATTCAGAATATTTTACCACTTCTAGAAAACTGCTAATATTAGTGTAATGTGTAAATTATATGTTTATGAAATTGTTTTTAATCGAATTACAACAAAAAAATCAAATCCAAAATAATCAAACTTTTATTGCCATATATATCCGTTTTTTCTAGGTTTTTTTCCCCGAAAGCTTTGTCCCTTTTATTTTTTTAATAAAAATGTATTTTCCGCGAAAAATTGTTACCGTAAATTAAATTATAATTTATTAAAAGTTATCTAAATTAATGTAAATTAAACAAAACTCATGTGCAACATTATTTATTTATTTTGTTAAAATCGATTTTCAAGTTTATATTGGTAATGGCATATATATATATATGTATTCATTTTAATTTTTATCGGGAACAGTATGTATACAACAGATTTTTTTAAGTATTTAAGTTTAATGATATGTTTTTTAACCAGAATAATACGCGGCCACGCTGTATTAGCCGTGCACTGTTATTAGCCGATTAAGTCTGCGGTCGTGCATCCGACGATAACGAGCGGATTTCTCGGTAAAATAGCAATAATAAAGTTCGAAAACTTAGAAAAAAAATATAAAAGCATATACCCGTATACCTATATATTATATTTTTTATGCACACAAAATCATTAATTCGTTGTGTATAGGTATACGGTCGTATCCTTTAAAATACATTATGTTCGCTGCAGAGTTAGTAAGATACAATTTTAATTAAAATCGTGTCTATAAACAAAATGTTTCTGCACAAAACAAAATTCTGATTTATTTATTCATAATAATTCAACGGGCTTGAGCTCTTTGAATGTATGATTAAATAAAAATGACAATGGTTACAAGAACATTTTTATATTATAATTCGATATTTTTATTATTATTATTATTAGTTGAACTCAGTGTATTTTCATATACCTATTGTTTGTACGTTTGTATGGGAAACACCTTTTTTTATCATTAGGGCGCTTATAAGTCCACGACTAACGCGAATAATTCTCCTAAGTATATTATAATATATTTGCTTTGAACCTTTTGAATGAAATAAGAACATTGTATATCATTTATTCAATATTTTTTTTTGTTTTTTTTTTAATTAAAAACAAACATAAATCTACTTTTCCCTTCGTAACAAATTCGAGTATATAACAATTTAATATGTTCCTTGCATTTATACGAATATGTAATAATATTAGTGATGTGTAGTAATAACTTTATAGCAATTATTACTCGAAACTTTATTTTATTATTTGCACGTTATCGTTTTACATGCGATAAAGAGGAGAATGCCGTAGGTATTTTAATAATTTAATTTCTCATTTAGTGGGATTTTGTGTTATGGAATACTTGGACGCAATAAGGTTATATTTTCATTTAGAAAACAGTAGTTTGAAAGATTAGGTATTTTTATGTAAAGATGATTGATGACTTGAACAATGTTCGTGATTTATACAAATAATTTAAATCAATAAAACAATTATATTTTTTAATTATAAGGATAATTTATTTTAGACTAAATAATATAATCGCGTGTCAGTGAATCGGGTGTCTTCGAATCGAGTTGTCGACAAATCGGTACAACACGGCTAGAACATGTTTGGTAGTCAAATACCATATGAAAGGTGCAAAGGTGAAAGATGAATGGAAAAAATATCACTGGGCAGAAATATGGATAGATGGACTAAACTAAGATCTTCAAATGCTTCTATAAGAATCAATTATCTGAAAGGAATGGCAAACAACAGAGAAGACTATGTGGACCTTTGAAGTTGAAAATAGATAAATAGTAATCTATACGTATATAATATATACATATATATATATATATATATATGTATCTAACATCAGACAACAACAATATTATTATTACTTATACGCATAATATTTAAAGAATAAACAATTCAAATAAACGACAAATGTGTATGTTTCGTTTTCTTAAAACATAATATTATTTAAAATATTTAGCGTATTTAATTTGTGTGTACAAATTTACACGACATCGATATACATACGTATTATAAGAATAATATGTAATCAGTGGCGTAGCTAGGATTTTCTGAAGGGGGGTGTTAATTATAAAACATTAAATATTATATATAATACGTACAAACTAAAACTTTTATTTTAATTAATTAATTATGTATACATAATGTCTGTATGGTATTATCAATAGATAATAATGAAAAAAAAATATATATATTATAAAATAAAACCCGTTTGTCGTTTTTGATCGAATGACAATTTTTGTATTACTTCTTCTACTGTTATTTCGACTTCACGATGAATATTTAAAGATGCTAATCCATTAAGTCTAAACTGGCCAATAGAAATTCTAAGATAAGTTTTTATTCGTTTTAATATAGAAAAACTTCTTTCAGGTTCACATGATGTGACAGGCAATGTTGCAAATATTTGAAGGAGTTTAAAAACATTTGGAAATAGGTCTTTATTGCAGTTATCAAGAGCGTCAAGAACACTTTTTATGCTTAGTTTTTCCAAATGTGTATGCCATAACTTTACCTCTGTTTCAATAACTTCTTGATCAATATCACCAGAATAAAACTCACTTAAATCTTTGATAGCTTGTTGATTATAATTTTTATTAGAAATGAGAAAATAAAAGCCAGCTATTATAGTTTTGTGGTTTATAAATCGGTCATTTAATTGTTNATACTTATGAAATTCTACATCACAATTACTTCTTATACTTTGGAGTTGAGAAATTATTATATCTACATGATTTAAAGCTTGAAATAAATCTATGTTTTGTTTTTGTAAATATGTGCAAAGATTTTTTGTATATTGAAATATTTTATAAATAATAATAAGACTTACATTGAATTCCGATGTTTGAATAGCTGAAAGTAACTGAGCTGCTTTTGATGATGTTTCAGTATTTGAATATAGTATCATTTCTTCAAAACAAGATATAATTACGGGTTGAAAATCATAAAATACATCTATTGAATTGTGTCTTTCAGTCCATCGAGTAGGACATAGTCTTTTTAATTTTTCTTTTTGACTTGAAAAAGAAGTATCTTCCTTAAATTTATTTAAATGTTTTATAAACTCAAATTGTCGCTTTGGAGTATTGAGAAATGTATAAATGCTTTCTATTGTCCCCATAGCATTTGTGATACTGGAAACACTACAAGCATATGATATAGATAGGTTTAAGTTATGCGCACTACAATGAACATATATTGCGCTATGATATGACGCCCTAATACAAGCTTGAACGCCATTGAATTTGCTACTCATAGCTGCAGCCCCATCGTATCCTTGACCTCTAAGATATTTCAAATTCATTTTTAATTGTGTAAGTTCATCAATAATTGTTTGTGCTAAACTTCGGCCACTCAGGTCAGTAACAGGAACAAATTTTAAAAATGTCTCGTGGATTTTTTTATCTTCCAAAGATAAAAAGAAAGTGTATATCGCGATACCACAATTACCGCCGCAANTATTGCGCATTATTTTATATTTCATATTGTATTTACGATTCAGTATTTACCTATGTTCCTATTTTATTATATATAATAATGTATATTGTAATATATATGTAATAATAATGTAATATATGATACGGCTCAAGGGGGGTGTCATATCCACCAAACACCCCCCTTGTATACGCCACTGTATGTAATGGCCGTCATATTCTTATTGGTGTAAATTTAAATTTACATCCGAATTAGTTCCTAAAATTGTACGTGAAACATTTGTCTAAATTGGTTGCCATTAAAACTATCGAAAAAGTCAACGTTGTATAATTTGTTTCATGTTTCACTTTACCTGATCCTAATTCTCCTAATTATATAAGGGTAGGTATATAATATAAAGGAATTACAGTCCTTATAGAAATATAATGGTTTATCAGGGAAGCATAAGAACATAATAATAATAATATAATTTGCAACCATCAAAAATAGGTACAAGATTTCTTAACAAATATGTTACTAAACCCCTTGCAAGCTAATGTTTGTATTGAGATTTAGAACTGAGTTAATAATAAAATAAATTACCGCAAATTAGCATAATTAATATAATAATAAGAAATATAATCAAAATGAATAGTAAAGATAATTGACAAAAAAGTAAACAGTAAATTCATTAATGGTAGGTACTTATGAATATTATACAGTTAAAGTACTATTTTATTAATATAATTTTTGTAAGTAATGGAATTATGAAAACTTAATATATTAATATTTAGTTGCATGCGTAAATCACTTCCAATAAATAGTGGGTTCATTTTTCCAAAATTTGAGTTACGTTTTATATTTAGCCAGATTAACATTTTTTGTATTTCTTGTATGATAATTATAATTGTTTGAGGTAAGTAAATGTCGGTACTAAAATAATACTTAAAATAACAATACACGCTTTTTAAAATGTGTATTTAAATTTTAGTTGTTAAGGGCATTACGAATGTTTCTATTATTATAAACAAATGAGTTAGAATAGTTAACTGATAAGTTATTTAAAATCTATTTGATTAGTTTATTAGTTGTTCTTGTTAAATAGTTTATATGACTAATATAATGTACTAAAATAATAATTTATTGATAAACAAATCTCGTTTAGATTATATTAAAATTTCGTCGCTTAAAGGTTTTTAATTTAAATAATAAATCATAACAATAATTAAAGATCTCGACTATAATTCTAAATTGTAAAATGCTGTAATATGTACAGTTCTGTGCTATCTATGTATACAAATTTTTTAAATTTATTTGAATATTAATAATTTTTGTAATGCTTAATTAATATATGGCTAATTTTAATGACCAATAAATTATACTATTAGGTTTATTCATATTTTTTTTCTGAAATAACGCTACACATTAAAAATAAATTTAATATTACGGAGTGTAGAGCGATAATAATCGTACCGCACTCGTTTAGAGTTAAATGTGCGTGTACCTATAAACGCGTTTTGTCTGGTATCAAATTTTTCGATTTTTCACTTAGGACACAATCGAAAGCACACCTGTTAAAACCGGATGCAATCGAAGTTCGAGGATGGTAAAAAGTCAAAAGGGACTCAAACGAAATTTTTCCGGACGCAATAGACCGGTGCATCCGAATTTCATGCCAAAAATATAAATGTAAATTGGAACGTCTGAATTGAATGCCATTTCTTACCGAGATCTGTTCGAATTGCGTGCCGTATATAATTTTCATATCAACAACGAAAATAAAAAATTGCGGAATTACCACGAGTGCCGTATGTAGTGTATACAATATTATTATTATATTAGATATTAAAACAAATGGGTTTTCTAAGTTTCATAATATTAGTACGCATTGGAACGTTAACATGGAAACACTAGTTGAAAATATTATGCTCAGTGAAAAAAACAAAAAGTTATTTCTCATAGATGATTTTAAATTTTATTTTAAAAAATTATTATGTAATGATATTGAAAGTTGGGTTCTCAGTAAACGATCGTGTAAGGCCTACATCAAATTAAACAGTGAACATGAAGTTATATTCGGAAAAATGGATCATAATCATAACAAAGATGACAAAAAAAATTTAAATAGACAACAGGTATGTAATAATTTAAAACGTAAAGCTTTAGACGATCATTTTGAAAAACCTAGTAATATACTGCATCGTGAACTATTAAAGGGAGATACTAGCACCTGGACCTCAGATGACACTAAACGCGTTCGAAACAATTTACAATACATCCGATCAAGCATTTATCCCAAACTGTCAGGTACTATGATTGATTTACATACAACTTTAGATAATTTAAATATCAAACTAATCGAGATGAAGAATTTTTATTTATTAATAACTATGAAAAAAATATTGTAGCTTTTACAGCACAATCGAATTTAAAATATTTAAGTGAGTGCGAAATTTTGTTTGTTGACGGTACATTTAAAAGTTATTCTAAAATGTTTTAACAATTATTCACAATCCACGGTGTTAGAAATCATAACTATACCCCACTATTTTTTTTTTTTACTAATGGAAAAAACAAAAGAAATTTATGTATATGTTTTGACTAATTTATTAATAAAGATGAACGATTTGAGCTTAAATTTATCGCCAAAAAAAATGTATGCTGATTTTGAACTAGCTATTCATTCTGCACTGATAGTTGTTTTTCCAAATGCAGTATAAAAAAAAAAATGCCGTTTTCACTTAGGACAGAGTATATGGAGAAAAATCCAATCAGTAGGTTTATGTACACATTTTAAATAGAAAACAGGAATAAGAATGCTTTTAAAATTATCTTTTGGACTGTCATTCTTAAATTCAAATGATGTAGATGATTGTTTTACAAACGACCTGATGGCAATTCAATCCAACGATGATCGCATACATGTGTTAAGTGATTATTTTTTAGAAACGTATGTATTGGCCAACAATTCATTTCCACCAACTATTTGGGCTGAATTTTCTAATTCTACAATGCGTGCAACTAATGTTTGTGAATCATTCCATTCCAAACAGAATAGCATGTTTATTCTCCAAGTCATTATATATTTCAATTAGTCGATGTCTTAAAGCAAGTACAATGAGATATGTATGTAAAAATGCATTCTTCCAATTTCAATAAAAGACATCGAGAAATATTAGAAAAAGAAGAATTTAGAAGTTCAGTAATAACGCAATTTCAAAATAATGAAATTAATAGAAAAATATATATAGAAATTTTATCATATATGGCGTTGCCTAAAACAAAATAAATATAACATCATAACACATGACACATAATAAATAGGTACGTCACATTACATAATACATTTTGATTTGCATTAAAACGAGTACCTATACTCAATTCGTTGACGAGCGTTTGTTTTTTTTTATCTAGGGTGAGGGGGAGACGACCACCTATCTTTGATTTTTTTCTTAATCATTTTATTTCTATATTATATTATACATTACGTCAAACTCGTTAAAAAAAACATGTACAATGTTTACAATTTTATTTTACAGCAATTTTCTCCTATAATTAATATACGTAATACACAACAGCTACACTACTACTCTAAAAAATGTATGCAGCTATATATACGAACTTAACAAATAAATTCAAATGACAATTTTTTTCGATTTTAAGTTGAAACTCGATCTGCCTTCATTATTAGAATAACTTTAAAAAAAGGAACGGGCATACTTTGATCGATAGACGAGCCACTATTTTAAACTTTAAGTTAGAAAGGTAGGATAAAGAGGGGAATTTAATGTTAATCTGTACGCAACGATTAATTTTTTCCCTTTTTTCTACATTTTATCCCTGTTTTTCCCATTTAACCTACCTTCTTAAAGTACACTTGAAAATCGAACAAAATTTCTGGTAGAAAAGTTGTTCACAGATATAAAAATCATTGTAAAACATCATTGTAAAATCAATACATTTCCTTCGCTCAGAATCTAAAATATGTCGAAAATATTAAGAATTGAATATCTCGATAGATTGAAAAATAAAAAAAGATGTCATAGGTTAATGGATTGGAAGCATTGTGAGTAATTTAATGTCTGCAACGATAAATCATTGATAAAAAAAAAAAATCGATTCTGAGTGGAGTTCAGTTGATAGTGATGTCTTGTCAACATTTTATGTATCATATCATGGTGAAATAATTAAATAGGCATTATGTATTTTCTTTAATCATATTTGTTTGACACTGATTTTTTCGTTTTTCCTCAGTTTTTTTTTCGGTTTTTCATATATATTGAGAAAACTCAAAAAAATCAAAAAAATGATTTCTTTAAAGTACCTTCGGAATCATATTTTTTGTTAAAAAAATTTCTATCGAGGGTTTCAAAGTTGGGAAAAATTGAAAAAGACGAAAAATTATTTTAAATTTTTACCCATGTTTTCTATCAGAAATTTGATTCCTATAGAAAAACAACAAAAGATCTTTTTTGTTGAATTTTTAATTTTATATTCTTCTTGGTAAATAATATTGATTTTCCGTGTACTTGTTTTAATAATTGAGCAAAACCGATTAAAAAAAATAAAAAAACTGGGATATTTACAAAAACAATAAAAATGATTTTATTATTTAAATTTTGTTTTTTTTTTTTTTTTTTTGTAATTTAATTAAAAATAAACGTAGAGACTTGAAATTTTAACAGAAACCTTAAATTTTCCTTTTCTAGACGCGGTAAAATTTTGACAAAAATCGTAAAAATTACAACCTTTCAAAACATATATAACATAACTTCGTTATCACTTTGAATATACTATACATAAATTAAATACATTTTTGTATCCCAATTTCCCACTTACAACAGTGGCACACCTATCAGCAATATCAGCTTTTTAAATTATCAGATTACTGATGATACATCTTTTAGATTGACTCAGTGAGTTCATTCTAAAGTAAGAAAATTCGCATTTTATCATGGTGAATACTTATATTACAAAAGAAATTTGTATTCGATGCTAAAATCGAAACATCAAAAAAATCGATTACACAACGAAATTTAAAAAACCAAAATATTT